TTTTTTTTTTTTTTTTGAGACGGAGTTTCACTCTTGTTACCCAGGCTAGAGTGCAATGGCGCGATCTCGGCTCACCGCAACCTCCGCCTCCTGGGTTCAGGCAATTCTCCTGCCTCAGCCTCCTGAGTAGCTGGGATTACAGGCACGCACCACCATGCCCAGCTAATTTTTTGTATTTTTAGTAGAGACGAGGTTTCACCATGTTGACCAGGATGGTCTCGATCTCTTGACCTCGTGATCCACCCGCCTCGGCCTCCCAAAGTGCTGGGATTACAGGCTTGAGCCACCGCGCCCGGCCCTAAAATTTGTGTTTTAGTAAGTTTCTTTCACTTGTGTTTATTGTTTCTTTTATTTATTTATTTATTTTATTTTTTTTCTGCCCAGGCTGGAATGCACTGGTGCGATCATGGCTCACTGTACCCGTGACCTCCTGGGCTCAGGCGATCCTCCCACCTCGGCCTCCTGAGTTGCTGAGACTACAAGCACATGCCACCATGCCCAGGTTGGTTGGTTGGCTGGTTCGTTGGTAGAAACGGGGTCTTGCTATGTGGCCCAGGCTTGCTATGTTTTTATTTACTAAATTTGGTGACCCTAACTCAACATACTTTGGGCACTTTGAGAGAAGGATAGGTCCCAAGAGGCAGAAGCTGGCATGGCAGTGAGGATCCGGCCTGTCAGAAAAGTCTGGCCCTTCTTGGAGAGAGCAGAGGACCAGTGGGGGAGAGAGAACTGCAGCTATCCAATCAGGGGAAGGCAGGGAAGGTCTTTTCAGCACCTGCTCAGATAAGCAGATTTCTGTCACTTGCCACTGAGGGGCCCCAAAGAAGCCAGCACGACCCTGGGGAGGAGCCTTCCTTCAGAAGCTTCTCTCTGAACCTCACACACCTTTTCTCCAGCCTCGACAAGCATTTCCACCCCCTTTACCCAGGCCTGTACCCCTTCAGGCCCCATGTGGGGATGTCCAGGTGAGGCCAGGGGAACTGAAATGGGGACAGTGTCGGGTAAAGGCGGGGAGGGGAGGATGGGGTGGCTCCAGTGTTGGGGGGAACTCCGCAAGTGCTGGGGCAAGGGTCTGAAGCCTCAGCCCGTTCCTATATAAATAACGGTTTAGGAAAGAATTAGAAATGTAGGCACATAGTTATTCCTTTATATAATCGTATATAATCTTTTTTTTTTTTTTTTTTTTTTTTT